GGCTCTTCATTCTCCCAGTCCCCACCTTTGCCTTCTGCGGCTTGGGCGGTGAGGCTCGAGCACTTGCTAGTGAAGACCGAGGCAAAAAAGTCATTGAGTACCTCAGCCTTCTCCGTGTCCTGGGTAACCAGGTCTCCTGTTTCGTTGTTTTGTTTAGGATAAAACCACAGGGAGGACTTAGAGCAAATATTAAGAAATGGTATAGCTTAATTTTGGTGGTGGGAAGAGGACAAACAGAGAAGGACTGGAAAACTTCCAAATAAGAAAAAGTTCCTGCACAGAACATGAAGTTTAAGCCAAGAACTTTCCTGCGTGCACAGCTTTACAGAGGCTTGCTACACTGAGTACACAGGTGCATGCACAAGTTACTCCAGGGTAAGCACAACTGAATTTACATGCATTAGCTGCTCCACAGAACTGCCTCTGCATATCCTGACCCCACACCCTCGACACAAAAGGAACTATAATTTTTCCACTGGATATGAACTTGGTTTTGGAAGCAAATTGTTCACAGTGATTTGGTGTGCCAGTTTTTAAAAAAATGTTAGCACCTGCTCACAAATCCAGTGCTTTTCCAAAAAACCACTATCCAGATCTCACAAACGTAACAAGTATGGTACTCCTGGCTAAGGAAAATCTCAAAGGCACACTGGAAATCACAAATCAACAAACTTCACTTATGCATAAACTATTTCTGATTTGTGAAAGGCACCCATCTTATTTTGATAAGAAATATGCATTATGACCTTTGCAAACAAAATCATCCCTTGGTCACATATCAGAATGAATAAGAGACCAGAGACAAAACTGGTTCAAAAGATTTATCCTGAATCCCTAGAGGCTGCTGAAAAACTCTTTACAAAAAGCAATTAAGGAACCACAGTTATCAAAGGTAGTAATCAGTCTTGTATTAAAAGGTAGGTCCAGATTCAAAACACATTAGTCAGTTTTCATGATGTCAGATGCCAGAAGAGTGACATTTCATTTCATTTATTCATTAATTTCATTTAATTATTTTTCTGATATCCCTAAACCACAGCCTCCTTTTCCACTCCCTCTTCCCTCCCCCCGAGCTGCTGGCTGAGGACATCAGTAATATTACACCATTCAGAAGAGACAAAAGAATAAAATAAAATTTAAAAAAATAAAATCTGATGGCAGCAATCCATTGTCACCTAAAGAAGAGCGTGGTGGTGTTTTATCAGTGATAAGTAGTGCTTGCACCCAGATGTGTTTGTATAGAAAATCAGTATTTGTTTACTGCTCGAGCTGGCAGACATACAGACTCACAAAAGACACTTCAGCTTTTTTTGTTTATAAACCACCTGCTGCTGTGAATAGCTATTCAGTTATCATTTGTTTCTACACAGAACTTTTCAGAAAAATCAATACACATATTTGAAAACTGGGTAATTCCAAACTGTGCTAGATTAAACTTAAAAAAAAATTTAAAATAAACTTATTAGACATTTTGCAAGCAGTTGCACTTAGAAGACAAATCAGATTGTTCTGATATCAAAATCTGGAATGGCTTCTTAAATCTGGTTCACGTTTCCAGCAATGACAAGCAAGCCCTTGCAGAAGCCCCATTTTAGCCAAGCTGAACGTGATCCTGTCAAAGGAATGCCACTGGAAACCACAGCATTACGAGCCGTACGAAGCAGCAGTGTGCTAGTGGAAGCTGTTGGTTTTCTTTCTTATTTTCCTTCAAGGGAACAGTAGTGTTATGCACATCCATACAAATAAATTCACTGTGTTGAAGAGCATTTAAGAGATCACAAACTTGTATGACAGAGTCCCCTCAACAGCGTAGAGCCTACTCACATATAAGATTTAGTTCTCTCAGTTTTGGAAAGTTCTTCAGAATTTGTCCAAAGACATCCTCTGAGTCTGACAGGTGGACAGCAATGTCATGCTGATGAAGAAATGGCAGAAGAAGTGCTCTCAGACAGCTATAACCTCACTACTTCAAGACTAGTATACGAAGTAGAAGCGCTGGGACAGTGCTTGCACTGAAGGATGGGGAGGAGAAAAAAACCCAACACAACAAGGTATTTACCAAAAGGTCCCTCCTGTCCAACAGCACAAGTTCCACCAGAGTTCTTGAGGTGATCATGTTTACATCAGTGTATTACATTTAGAGCAAGGGCAAGAAGCCCATAGGCAAGTGCACTTCAATTAATCAATGTCATTTAAGTGAAACTTCAAATCTGATCTAATTTAGTCAATTTATAGCAAGGCCTTTATCCAGGAAGTCCGACCAATATTCGAACTAACTGACTGTTAGCACACGACAGACCGAGGCTACAGGTATAGCTAGGGGTTCAGGAACCAGAAACGCTCTTAAGATTATTTGTTAAATGAGACCTTTAAAACTGAAAGAAAAGGTAAATGCTAAAAGAACATCCTCAGAGAGCTCTCTCCAGTTGCAGACTTTGGACTGGATCCAACTTGAGACACTTTACCGGTGTCCCACTCTCAACAGGAGAAGCTCACATCTTTCTGAAAACTAAAACCTGTAATGGCTCTCACATCCAAGGACAGGAACAACTGAAAATCATCTGATGCTTTTGCAAGTCTTGGACAACAATTATTCTCGTTGTCTAAAATATGTTCTGCGGCAGAGCTTCACAGGGCTCTGTTCTGATGCCACTGAAGTTTGACTGAGCAAGGCCTCAGCCTGCGAGTCACAGTCAATGTGTGAAAAGTTGCATAAAAGTTGTGTTTAGAGTACTCCACAGATTTCCACCCTTCATTCTAATGTTATGAGTGGTTAAACTTATGCTTAACTATCCTGACTAGTCCCATTAATTTATTAATTCTGGCTGGTGTTGAGAAGAGCAGCTGGTAAATGAGTTTTGTGGAAAGTCAGCTCAGAACACAAAGCTCTTTTTATTTGGGAGAGAAGGAAAAGAAATTCCCCTATCTTTGGAAAACGGAATACAAAATACTGCAGAGATTTCTCTCTGTGCAGAGAGCACACACAGATGTGAGCAAGTCTGATCGATCCATAGGCATTCAACAACCACAATAGCAAGTGGGGGGAAATGCAGAACTCCCTCCACTATGCTTCTTTCACACAGAATATGCATGTTTTCAAGTGTTGCTCCTGGAGGTCTTTAAGCACTTGAAATGCTTCAGGCAAACCCTCAGGCTGGAGGGAATCTTCAGTCACAATAAGCAGGCTGGGAAAAAATGTCACCGTCTGCCTCCACTGATGAAGGCAGACTCCTGCGCTTACAGAAGCGATGTCCTTTCTGAGCTTGGCACTGGCAGTGCTTAGCCACTGCAGGGCTCAGTGCTCAGCCACTGCAGGACTCGGTGCTCTTTTGCCACAAAAGCGGAAGGCCAGCCATGTATTTTCGAAGACAGTGGGTGGCAAGGCACAAGCTTTTTCTACAGCAGGATGGAATCCAATTATCACTATCAAAATTTCTTCTGGTAACTGCAACAAGTGATTGGCATAGGCTATTGCTTCTCTAATGTAATTAAAAACATACATGTCTCAAAAATTTCCTTTAAGGTCATCGAAAAAGCCGTGAGAAATCTCCCCATCCCCACTTTGAGGGGAGAAGACCAAACTGCTGTGGCCAAGACCAGAGTGGTGCAGGAGCAGAAGGCAGAATGAGCAGCCAGCCTGAATGAAGACTTAGCCACGTTCCCCAGACCCCGCTGTCCCTGCAGCTCAGCCATCTCTACTGACTCCAGCAGGTCTCACAAGTATTCGGGACTTTTAATAATCAGCCTCTCAGAAAACTGAATATTCCCTGTTAGAGTCTGCCCATGAAAATGTTGCTTTAGGACATTTGCTGAGCTCTGTCAGAAGCAGACGGGAGACAGCACGAAGTTCTCACAGGGAATACTTGCCTGCCTAACCACAAGACCATTTTTGTCTTGAGGACTCTGACTGTTAATTCACCGAATACCTTCCAACTCTCTGGAAACTGAAGCAACCTTAGGTAAAGATTCCACAGCTAATAGCTTTACTGTAACTGATTCATCCAACTGCCCCAAGATCATCCTACAAAGGAAACAGGAAAGTAAAACATAGGCTAGAGATCTGAGATGCAATAAAGTCTGTCAGCAATTTGCAGCAGGAAAAGGTTTAATTAAGTTTAATGAAGATAATTCTGTATTTCTGGCTTTTAAAGCCAGTAATAAACCCTCCTGTATATACTTATATGTATACATATATGAAATATATGAATATTTGCTTCTGCCTCCCCCACCAACCAAATGAAGCAGTAGGGTTTTTTTTTCAGCCATACCATTAATTGATTTAAGATCTTAAAAATCTGAATGAAGGATAAACAGAATGATAAAAAAGTATGGAAAATTAAGAAAACAATTAGTTTTCTTCGAGAAATGGGAGCATGCCTTTCATAAAAAAAATGGGTAAAGCACAGTAAGGGTATTGCCAGTAAGTTACACAACAGTTAGCTAGGCAGATGTGCAGATATGACCAACATAATTACTAAGCTACCAGAAAAATAGCTCCAGAAAGGAATGGAGCAATAAAAGACTAAGCTTCTTCACAGAGCCTCACAATAACTACAGGAATACAGAATGGAAACCCCGAGGGCAGGAAGACATTTCTTTAATTATCAACAGTAAACTATCCTGGCTAAATAGGATATGGTAAAAGATATTTAATTTTAAACAAGCTCCCTCCCTTTGCTCTATTTCTCCCATTGGAACCTTGTTTTGGGAACACAGAACATTTGGCATTCTCTCATGGGTGCCGCAGGTGACAAAGGACTAACAGCATCTGTTTGTCCCCTTGGTCTTTCATTCATTAGGTACCTCTCCAGGACAAAAACGTTACACAGAAGAGTGATTGCCAGACTGCAATAAGGTAAAACCACTCAGAGGACTCCAGACATTTATTCTTATGCCTCTATACTTATTTTATATATATAGTTTGCAGGATTGCTTCATTGACAGTACCTGTTAAAAAGGCCCCCCCAAAAAAGAGAAAACCTTAAGTATTTCCATGAAAAAAACGTGAAAAAACATGCACCCCTCAGCCAAACAGCATGCAAGTTCGGGTTTTTTTCTGTTTAACCACATGCTACAGATCGGGCTCTGAGGCTACTGGACTTTACACGCAATGTACAACACAGACTTTTTGGTTTGTATTTTTGCAGCTGCTGCCGAAATAGCTTATATGAGACCAGTCAGGAGAACGACATTTTAGATTTGTACGCGTGGCGTTTCTTTCCATATAAGTATTTACGATCGCGGTGGTCGGTGAATCAGCTCTAAGGGGTCCACAGAAAGCACCTAACAGAAACAGGTCTATTGGTTGCATACTCTACCTAAGTTCACGTGGCTCTAAGCAGCACCTTCAGTTCAGCAGCGTGGACTGCATCTCTACTGGAAACTGAACAGGGGCAGAAAAGCTGAAAAAAATACCTTGGAAATCCCTTTATAATGCAACCATGATCTGTCCTGTGATGAATCCTTTTTTCCAGGGAGACTTCTATTGGCATCAGCAGTCTGCCCAAAGAGAACTAACTGTTGAGTCAGGGTGCCAATTTTCAGGTCCTTTCTTGTAATTGCGGAGATTGAAATAGATGCATTCTAATTAGTAAAATATATATGTCTCCTTTTAAGCCCACAGCACAAAGACCTGATAAAGCTATCAAGTAGCCGCCACTTGGAGGTGTGGCCTTGAGCTAAAGAACTTGCACTTTTTGCTTCCAGATGTATCTGCTCTCCTGCAGAATAAGCTCACCTGCGTACACGACTGCTGTTGCAACTACACACGGTACCTGAACTCACACTACCCAACAAAAAACAAACTATTCCACTCATTCTTTTTGCCTTAACAGCTTTCTGTACTTAGTCTGGATTATTCTTTCTTCTCTATACAATCAACCTGTTCTCTCCATTATGGAACAAAGAAACAGCAAACAAGCTTAAAAATTATTCAAGAAATGCTATTTATGAAGCTCCACTGGCACCTGGTAGCGTGTCCAAAAGGGAAATTGCTTTGCCCTGTTAACAAAGTTTATAAGAAGTATGGGCAACTACAACTATCTAAACTACACCCCCAAATCTCACAAACCTATCTTTTATTAGAAAGAAGGAACTCACAATCACTCAACTTTCTGTGGATCCTACTTTTTTTTTTCCCCCTGAAAGGAAGAAAAAGTATGATGGCTTCTGCAAGTAACTGGAGCAAAACAAATTTTCTTTGCTTTTGATTACTTAGGCAAAAGCTGATCTGATAAGTATTTAAGAAACTATGGTAGCACTAAGATATCATTAGAGATAAGGAATAAATTGTGGGTTGAACAGGCGTTTTTTTGCTTTTTAAGAGGAGCTGAACCATTACAGTGCAATACACACTGTTAGAAACTGATAACATTACAGTGTTTTAAACAGATTGCTCTACTACTTTCGGCTTACCAGTGCGGTGCTAGCCAGGCTGAGACCACGCCAGCTGTATGGACACGTGTGTGTATGTACATACAAACCACAATCAGACATGCAACAACTAATGTAAAATGTAAAAATAGCCTTTTCTTGCCATTCCTGTTTTGACTTTTTCATGCTCTTCTTTCATTTTCCCCATTGCCTTCTCCAGTTGCCCTCCACACCAACGGGGCTACCAGCCCCATTACTTCCCTCAGAGACCCCAGCCCTGCAAAATGCCGCAGAAGGAACAGTGCAGGGAGCCAAGGCCAGCGGCAGACACCAGGAGAGCGAGTCCAGCTTGCAGAGATCCCTTCTGTGGCTGAGCGCCTTCTGAAACGCTTGCTCTTGGCCTCTGAGTGGCCCTACGCCACTGTGTAACAGGCAGTACTTGCCCAGCTTATTCACTCACGGATTTTAATCTCTGTAGCAGATACTCTTTCTCTTCTTTAACTGGGGGGAGCAGCTCAGAAGCATGCGAAACCCTCACCAAGAGGCTTCAAGGCCACATGACCTATTCTCACAAAACATGCTTCTCACTGAACTATTTTCTTTATAGCTCATGACCCCACTCCCCAGAGACACGCCTACCTTTGATTCTTAACACTGGCAACTGTGTACCCGGGTTCTTCTCCTCCGCGCATGAATTCTTAGAAATTTTGGGTAGCAGCAAGTACAGGATCATTGTCTGCTATATAATCTGGGCCACTGATTAGCGTATGCATTTCCTGTAAGAAGCCCAAAGACTTTAATTACCAAAAATTAAGTTGCAAAACACCAAATAGAACCCCAAAATATCCACCATAACTTTTTTTTTTTAACGTAACTATTCTTTATTAATAGGCATTTGGTCAATTACAGTGAACACTGAGGTAATTTCTTACCTCAAACCGAATTTCTAAGCCTACCTACTTGGACTAATCTAAATGTCAGGCACACCTGATTCCACAAGCTTCTCACTGCGCCTTCTCATCAGCTGGGAGAGCCAGGCTGCTGGGTGAAGCTATTGATTTCTGTTATATGTATTATGCAAGTAACTTCCCTCCTTTCCCACCCGAAATATGAAACTCACCACTTAATCTTTCGGTCGAGACAGAGACAATAGCTTGCCTACGTTTTCAGAGCTCTAATTACAACCCCCATCATTTAAGGTAGCGGTTATCAACTGGATTTATTGTCTTTTAAAAAACCTACAGGTAGCTACGACTGGATTTATTGTTGTCTTTTAAAAAACCTACAGGTAGCTACAGCTCGGGGTCACTTTGCAGGCCAGGTCCTAGAAGTAAGCCTCGATACTGCTAAAATGCGCCAGGGAACCCTGTACGCTCGTTTTCTCTGCTTTTACTCTACCTGAACGCAGGAGCGAGGAGCGCACAAGCCTCCCCCGGCCGCGCTCCGGTTTCTGTTCAATCCTGCAGGCTCTGACGCCGCTCCCTGAAGGACCGTGGCGCCCCACCTCACCTCCAGCCCCCTACTCCCGGCCACCTGGGCCGACCCGCGGGTCCGTCACCCGC